GTCCGTCCGGGAGGCCAGCGTCCGTCCTGCCCCACCGGCTGCCCCATGGCCAGGACAGGCCACCCGATGGGAGACTCTCCACCCTCTGTGCCCTACCCTTGGAAGAGGAAGAGGTTGAGGTGGTTGTATTTCTTGGTGAGGAAGTTGCCCAGGATGCGGGTAGGGTAGCCACAGCGGATCTGGTAGGCTGACAGCGAGAAGTAGATGCACTTCACGAAGTACCACAGCTGGGCCACGGTATTGAGGCTGAACAACCTGCAGGGACCACACGGGGACCCGTAACTCCTCTGGCCACCCGATCCCCGCTGGTTGAGCCACCAATGCCCAGCCAGTGGCTCCCAGCAACGCCAGGACCATGAAGGTGACATGAAGGCACCAAGCAAGCACCACATGGCCTTGGCTCTGGATGCCCCCAGCCCCCTATAGTGCTAGCAGGGGCCACCCAAGGAGCATCTCCAATGGATGCAGCGGGATGGGAGACACAGCCAGGCCGGTACCTCTCGGTGACGGCCGGGAGGATGAAGAACATCCAGAGGTGGATGCTGAAGACCAGGATGACCTGGAAGATGAGCTTGCCCAGCACGGTCTTGCGGAGGTAGAGCGCGCGGTCGATCACCATGGTGGTGAACTGGATGAGCAGCATGACCAGGAAGGCCTCCGGCACCTGGTCGTCCGACAGCGAGGACGTGATGTCGGCAGCCGCCGAGTGTTTCTGGAAGAGCAGGAGATGTGAGGACACAGCCCGGCCTGCCCCATGTCCCCTGGCAGAGCTGCCCTCGGCCCCGCTCACCCCAAAGGCCCAGAAGCCGAAGATGATGATGATGAAGTCGACCACATCGGCCAGGAACATGAAGGCGTAGACGTCGGTGGCGGCCCGGTACTGGGTGTGCAGGATGTCATGGAAGAAACCGCGCACGGGCTGGTACATGTTCTGTGCCCTGCAGGGGACGAGGGGACAGAGGGGGACGGGTGTCCCATGGGCTCATGCCGCAGCCCTCCACCCCAGCCAGCACCACGGGGCACTCACATGGTGAGGAAGAAGAGCTTGACCCGGAGCCCGAACTTCTTCAGCTTCTTCTGAGAGTGGCTCTGCTTCACCTCTTCCTCCTCCTCTTCATCCTCCTCCTCTTCCTCCTCTTCCCCACCATGCCCTGCAGACACCGTACAGGTATCAGCATGGGGACAGCAGGACCAGGACACTTGGGACCTCCCTCCCTGGGGCAGCGGTGGGTGGGAAACGCCGCTCACCTTCCTCCACAGCCTCCTGACTCTTGCTCCAGAGCTGCTTCTTCCTCCGGAAGCGGAGGTGGCTGCCGCCAGCCCCGGTGCCCTCGTCCTGCCCCACGGCATCGTCCTCCTGCTCCAGCCCCACGGCCACGGCCGGCGCTCCCGGCTCTGCCAGCGCTTGCGGCCCCTCGTCACCACCCGCTGGAGGCTCTGCTTCCTCCCGCCGCTCCTCCTCCTCCTCATCCTCCGGCCGCTTCTTGGCCAGGGGGTCCTCCTCATGGTCCCACAGTCCGTAGCACTGGGGAAGGCCACAGTTAACAAGAGCCCGGCTGGAACCCATTGCGGCCCCCTGTGCCAACCCCATCCCTGGCCATCCTGCTCCCAGAAACGCAAGTGCGCTAAAGCTTCCCAGGGACCAGAGCCACCAGAAATCAGTGTCTGCATTGGAAACAAGGGATAGAGATGTCCAAGGGATGAAGATCATGGAATCATTATGGTTGGAAAAGACCTTCAAGATCATCAAGACCACCCCAGATGCCCAAGGGCTGGACCCGCTCCAGCAGCGACGCTCCGGCGCTGCCGCGAGCCCCCTGCTCACCAGCAGCAGCGAACGGTGGAAGAAGAGCGCCAGGAGCTGCAGGAGGTCGTACTTGATGTAGCGGTCGGTCTTCTCCAAGCCCAGGATGCGGGGCGGGAAGAAGGGCTTGCCCTCGTTGCGCACCAGCGTGGCGTAGCTGTTCCAGGGGAAGAAGCCGAACTGGAAGAGGTATTTGACCACCACCATCACCTGTGGAGGGGAAGGGGTCAGCAGGAGGCAGTGAGCCCCGGTGCGGGACCCTTGGGCCCCCGCCGCCCGTGCCCACCTCGGTGAAGATGATGGCCGTCATCCAGAAGCGCTTGCTGGGCCGGGGGATGGAGAGCATGGCCCAGAGGAAGACGAGGATGGGCAGGAAGAGGGAGATGACGGAGGCGGTCACCATGTTGTTGAGGATGATGAT